ACTATATAGTATATATATATATATATATATATATATATATATATATATTATGTATATATTATGTATATATAGTGAAATGACATTGTGCAATGTTTATGTTGTGATGCATTATTGTTCGTTATAAGCGGGGAAATGGGGACAAATATTTCACAGTGTACGTAAAACATATAACTGTTGGAACTAACTTGTTACAGCAATTCTCGTGGAACCGACCATTTGGGCATGCTTGTTGAAATAAGTACAGCTTAAATTAGCAATCATATCATGGCTGTACTGCATTGAGCGATTTCACTTAACCTTGCGTTTTTAGCTTGTAGTTTTCAATTTTCTTTAGTTTTGTTGTTTATCGCGCGCTGCGTTCGATTGACATTTATTGCGTAAACGAATTTACGATTAGGCAGGGTGGCGTTTATTGTTTCAAGGGCTATACGTAGCCAGACGGGGAAGGTGTTCTCCACATCCTCCCAACGATCAGTGCATTTGCCCTCATCATTACTCTCCTGTTTGCGGCAGTGACCGTACAACATACAACAACGAATGTCGGCTGCGATGCGCACAGAGATACAACCCAGGTAGGAGAGCTGCTGCTGCTTCAGTAAACATGTGCTAGACCAGTAATAATATCCAGTTGGAAACATGACCATATATGGTAGCTTTTGCGTAACAATAATATGGTTATTTAAACATGAACCAAAACGTATTGAACGGTCTTTTAATTTCGAGTGCGCTGGTTTATAATTATAATTGATTGATAACAACAATTATTTGAGTTGCTGGAACACGGAGGTGAAAGAACGGGTGTCGGGTGTCGAACGGGTGTAAAGTAACGCATTGCCCCGTTTATTTTTCTTCAGGTCTGTATAAGGATCAAGACGGAGCATGTGGCAATAACCAAGACTGTACATGCCCCGAGAACTACCGTCCAGTCTGTGGAAGCGATGGCAAAACATACAGCAATGATTGTAAGCTGACATGTGCCAAGAGATATATTCCAGGTAAGGTTGATCGTGAGTATAAATATATGTTAGATTCGTATATGTAATTCTGTGATGAATGGACCAATGAATTGCAGCGAATGCATAACTGTCACATGATGCACAACATAAATACATTGTTGCTTTATTATTTTCAGGCTTGTACAAGGATGGCGATGGAGTATGTGGCGGTAACCAAGGCTGCACATGTTCTCAGAACTACGACCCAGTTTGTGGAAGCGATGAAAGAACATACGGCAACGAATGTGAGCTGAGATGTGCCAAGAGACGTAACACAGGTAACGTTGATAGTTAGTATATATATATATATATATATATATATATATATATATATATATATATGTTAGAATCTACGATACCGTTTTGTGGAGAATGGATCTATATAATCATTTGTTAGTAAGTTTAATATTCTTTTTTATTCATACTCTCACGTTATACCTATTATACACCTGATGTATTGTAACTAAGTTATGTGCTAAATAAAGAATCTGAAATACATGGTAGCGTGTACATAACTGGCACCATAGTGGGATGGTGTTAGGATGATGTGGATAATATCAGAAGTAGATAATAGGAAAATCTTCTGATAATATGCAACGTTTTTGAAAAAGTCTGTACAGAGAAATAGCGTCTACATGACTATCACAAAAGTGTACGTTAACATAAAACGAGCAATCATTTTAATAAAGCATGAAAACACGAATTTTTTTCTTATCTGCTAACACACATTATCTACCGTCGTTTTAACAATCGTTAGGCTTTGTATGCGAATGTATTGACTTACATTTGACTGACAATAAATGTTTGATAGAATCACGAGAGCGTGGCATGTGGCATGTAATACATTGTCACCTTTACTTTTCCTCAGGTCTGTACAAGAATCACGACGGAGCATGTGGCAATAACCAAGGCTGCTCCTGCCCTAAGAACTACAATCCTGTCTGTGGAAGCGATGGCAAAACATACAGCAACGATTGTAAACTGACATGTGCCAAGAGATATAATACAGGTAAGGTTGATCGTGAGTATAAATATATGTCAGATTCGTATATGTAATTCTGTGATGAATGGATTAATACATTGTAGGGTGTACATAACTGGCACAACATAAATACATTGTTGCCTTATTATTTCCAGGCTTGTACAAGGATTACGATGGAGCATGCGACAGTAATCAAGGTTGCACATGCCCCGAGAATTACAATCCTGTCTGTGGAAGCGATGGTAAAACATACAGCAACGATTGTAAGCTGACATGTGCCAAGAGACATAACACAGGTAAGGTTGATAGTTAGTAGATATATATATATATATATATATATATATATATATATATGTTAGAATCTAGAATACCGTTCTGTGGTGAATGGATCTATATAATCATTTGTTAGTAAGTTCAATATTCTTTTTTATTTATACTCTCACGTTATACCTATTATACACCTGATGTATTGTAACTAAGTTATGTGCTAAATAAAGAATCTGAAATCTGAAATACATGGTATAGCGTATACATAACTGGCACCATAGTGGGATGGTGTTAGGATGATGTGGCTAATATAGATAATATGCAACGTTATTGAAAATGTGTGTAGGGCCTACAGAGCTATATAGCGTCTGCATGACAATCACAAAAGTGCACGTTAACATAAACCGAATCCGAACCATTAAAAAAACATGAAAACACGGATTTGTAATACTGAGTCTCTTGGTTATCCGTGATCGTTAGTGGTTCTGCGTAATTGTATTAGAGATATCGCTGTACGCGGCAGACACAAACTACTGAACACTGCTGGTACGTGGTTAGGTTGCAAACATGTTTACTGACCCAGAAAGGCTCACACACATACTAGTGTAGTGGCTCTAGGGGTAGCCGCTATATGAATTATGTGCGTGTGAATGCACAATTGTTTTTCGGGATCATTTCTTGCTCCCGGTGGCAAAGCGGGACTGTGTTGCGTGGCAGCAGGTGGCAAAACAATGAGACAAATAAACTCAACGCAAGATACTTAATTATACGGAACCGGTAGTTTTATTGCTTATATACACACTAGAGTTATGCAGTATCATATCTGGTGGTTACCGGAGGCGTTATGAGTGCTCTGACTGCGTGCCGTACTATTTGTCGTAACTATAATATTTTATGGCATAAGGCCAGTGAACGGTTACGTGCGAAAATATAGGTGCTTCGGTGTGAACGCGAACCCGACGTATCTATTGCGATTGTCGGGAGTGAGAACAAGACGCAACGGCACCTGCTGTCGGCGTTCTCCTCCCTCGATCCTCTCTTCGTCGCGCCGTTTCTCGTTCCTTCTTCTGTCTTCCGTCGTCTCTCTTCTGTCTTCTTTCTTCTATCTTCTGTCTTCTTTCTTCTGTCTTCTCCCTTCTTTCTTCTTTCTTCTGTCTTCTCTCTTCCTTCTTCGTTCTTCTATCTTCTATCTTTTCTCTTCTTTCTTCTTTCTTCCTTCTTCTTTCTTCTTTCTTCCTTCTTCTATCTTCTCTCTTCCTTCTTCTTTCTTCTGTCTTCTCTCTTCTCTCTTCTCTCTTTTCTCTTCTATCTTCTTCCTTCTCTCTTCCTTCTTCTTTCTTATGTCTTCTATCTTCTCCCTTCCTTCTTCTTTCTTCCTTCTTCTTGCTACTCGCTTCTATCTTCTTTCTTCTTTCTACTATTTTATTTCTTTCTTCTTCTTTCTTCTATCTTCTTTCTTCCTTCTTCTCTCTTCTTTCTTATTTCTTCCTTCGTCTTTCTACTATCTTATTTCTTCCTTCTTCTTTCGTCTGTCTTCCTTCTTCCTTCTTCTTTCTTCTCCGGGGTGAGCGAGTCACTCTTTACCGTGCATGCTAGCTCCTCGTCTGCCGCCGTGCAGTGATCCGTGTCTGTAGGGTTCTGTGTCTGTATTGCTCCGTGTCTGTAGTGCTCCGTGTCTGTAGTGCTCCGCGTCTTTAATGCTCCGTGACTTTATGCTCCGTGTCTTTAGTGATCCGTGTCTTTAATGCTCCGTGTCTTTAATGCTCCGTGTCTTTA